GGACTTTTACACTACTAGTTGGGGGCTACGGGCGACCCGTAGACCTGAAGGTAGAAAAACTGTTGCGCTAAGACGCACGCTAAGACTTTACCTTAGTTGTGAGTACGAGGTGGCTTGACACAGCTATACAGGATGTTTGAGCGGTTAACCTAAATTTACGTCATAACGAACCCCAGCCGCGCTTTCTCAAGGCGAGTTTCGCTCGCGTCCCAGGATAGCATACACCTGGGCACAGATTTAGGAGAGATTGGTTGGAGTCCTGTGGGTAGGTGGTCTACGGTTCCTCTGGGGCGCAGCGTCAAGCATTCCCTAACACGTGATACAGGGGGTAATGACATGTTCGTTTCTATAGTCGCGGTAGCGTTAAGGAGCATATTTAGGGACCATTTACCCTCAGCTGCTAGATTCCTAGCTGATAAACTCACTGGAGAACATTTGTGGGCTACTGTGGTAAAATTAATGAACGTTAGAAAGGAGTGATACTATCGCCAGCACTACTTCAGCTTACTTGTGGGGAGGGCACGTCAGGCCTATAGCTCGATAGCCTTTTGCCTAAAGGAGCCAAATGAAGTCGACTGAAAATGATCTGTCTGTCTACGTATTTTAGCAAATGTTTGAGCCCTTTTGACCCCATAGTTCAGGCTAGAAATACTCGGCGGGCCCTCGCAAGAGGATGGTGAAGTATCTACGTGTAACACACTCCCTGTGGATATCACGTTAAGACTGGAGGGCGACTACACACAGCCGCAAGGCACGGGGGCACCATCACCAGCGTCGGAAAGAACACGCCCCCAGTCCTGCAACGGCCTTGGTCCAAAGTCACCCGATCCTATTGACTCACAGTGCAGAACTCTGACTTCCTTATAATCGTGGCGTACAATAGTATCGTTCGTGTCGCTTTTTCCGCAATGCAACAACCAAGCCAAAGCCAGCAACCTGCCTATCGGAGGTCCACCCAATTGGGTGAGATTATATGATTCAGGAAGTAACTATGTACTTGCTATGGCTTTAACATTGATTCACATCGCAACCAGAATAACGACGCTATCGGGATGAGAAAAATCCAACCGCTCCCGATGAAGTCATTCGCAGTTGGGAGTCGAAGTTAAAACACTTCCACCCTTCACCTAGTTCTGGAACACGACAGGCAGCACTACAGGTTATTTTTCCCCCACTAGAGGATACTTAGAGGTGTCGGTACTGGACGTGACGGGGTCGGTCGGGTAGCTTATTGAGTCACGACCCCGGCATGCGGTGATTACATGTCAGTCTATGCGCGCCTGTTTATTGGTGGCTGGGAGCATTTAAGCCTGCCTGTCACGGCGTGTGGAGCCGGATCTTATCTCGCTTCCAAGCTAAAGCTATGGTCACGGGCGTTACGCTGCGAGACTCATAGACGTAATTGCCATTACTGGGTTATGGTGGAAACGCACGTTTCACCCGTGGTACAACTGCCAGTAGGTATTGTGAGACCTTTTACCCGTAGCCTGACGTTGCCTTAACTCCTCCTAAGCACACGGGAATAACTTAGCCACGATAGGCGTCGTAGGGATCTGATAAGCGCGGTCGCAAGGGGGTGATTAGAGAGGTTTTTGTTGGGTTAGAAGGCATGAGTATAAATGTGTAATTGTTAAATCTGCCACCACCACCAAACACAGACAGTCAGTTGAGATTCTGTTACGGGTTTCTGGGGTCTCTGTGGGTGTCTAAGGATCTGTGTGGGTCTTTATTGGTCTGGGTGTCTGTGGGTCTCTCAGGATCTGGGTTTCTGTGTATGTATTAAAGTTATTTCGCACCATATGAAGCAAACTTTCGCTAATCCACTCACAACGACGTCAGCCACGGTGGCCAGGAGATGTTAACTCCCTTTCTTGGTATACAGGAGGTCGTGGGTTCGATACCGACCCTGACGCCTGCTGCTGCATATTTGGAGTTTGTGTCTCTATCTCTCTGCCCGTGGTTGCGTGGATTTTTCCGGGTCCTCCGTTTTTAAATCCTTTATATTAAGTTTGCTTGCTTGCTTGCTTACGACCGTGCAAATCTTTCGGTCGTTTTTTAACCCACTTCCCGTGATCCAATCGAGCTGACATTTTCCACACAGACTCGTTGTGCGTGACAATTAATGTTCGTGAAAATGTTTTTCCAAAATTTTACACTTTTTAGGACAAAAATATAATATTTAATTACCAATTGCTTAATGGTTCAATGCAATCATCTGACCCATAGGTGGCAGCCATCTCAAGCCAGAGGACGAGAGTACTCTAGCCGCCACGCATAAAAAGGATTTATAGTGAAAAACTTTGTTTTTACGGGTTATACTTGTTTTTTCTTCCACATTTAGAAACAACGTCACCACACATTTAGAGCAATTGGCTTCCGCTACACATTTCCACACGGTGGTAATGAGAAGGCCCCACTTCGTTGAGCAATGATTTGTGATGGTCAGGTCGCTCTTGAAAAAGAAGAGCTACATAGCAGGTCAGTGGTGGGGCCTTTAACAGCGTAACAATAGGCTGTAGCCTTTCTGGAAATACAACACATACTTGCGGTGAACATGCAGACAAAAACATGCTCTGATAATATGTGGCTTTGCCTTTGATACTGATTGGTCTACACCAAAGAAAGCAGCCTTTGTTAGGGCCTAGTCTCAATACCAGTGTCTCACCGCCAGTGTCTCACCACCAGTGTCTCACCGCCAGTGTCTCACCGCCAGTGTCTCACTACCCAGTGTCTTACTATTGAGGGTTAGATGGATAAACGCAAAAAGGCGGACAATCCCCCCAAGTTTTAACGGCATTCGGTATTCTTGGGTCTTTCGTTAAAGTCACGTAGACAGGTTCAAAGAAAATAATAAAAATAACAGTTAGACGACCGCTTGCGTTGCGATCGAAACGTCGTAGTTTTCTGTTATTTTTATTATTTTCTTTGAACCAATCTTTGTGACTTTACCGAAAGACCCAAACATATTAATTCCTGCAGTCACAAAAGCTTCAAGTGAAGCATTCGGTAAAGTCACGTATAAAGATAAAATAATAAATTAAATAATTGCATACAACGTTTCGATTGCAACGTCGTATGCTATTATTTAATTTATTATTTTATCTTTATACGTGACTTTACCGAAAGAACCAAAGAGTAATTCCTGCAGTCACGAAAGCTCCATATTAAGATTGAAGCATTCGGTAGTTTAACGAAACATTTAAACATTCGCGCAATCTAACACCCAAACGAAAAGAAACCTCCACTGTGGAAAATGGCGGCCGTGGAAAATGGCGGCCGTGGAAGCCCCGACTGCCGCTGCTGCCACCACCATTGAGCGTCAGGCGCTCCGATTGCGACGACTCTGACTACCGGTCCCTGCCTCCTCCTCCGCCTCCCCAGGTCCGCAAGGAGCAGCTCCACTACCGCTACGAGGTGCAGAAGCTGATCGGCGAGGGAGGCCAGGGCCTGGTGCTGCAGTGCCTCGACCACAAAACCAAAACGCTCGTGGCCGTCAAGATGCTGTCGCTGCCCTTGTGGTGAGTCCGCGGTTGCCCGCGCTCTCGGACAATAATCATCAAACGATTGGAGGCACCGCCGTGAACACGGCCACTGACTATGGACTCGCTGACAAAATGCTAACTGCCGTAAAACTGCTGCAAACTACACCCACAAAGACACCCAGAGACACCCACAGAGACCCACAGAGACACCCACAGAGACACCCACAGAGACACCCACAGAGACACCCACAGACACCACAGAGACACCCACACAGACACCCACAGAGACACCCACACAGAGACACACACACAGAGACACCCACACAGAGTCACCCACACAGAGTCACCCACACAGAGTCACCCACACAGAGTCACCCACACAGACCCCCCCACACAGAGTCACCCACACACAGAGTCACCCACACATACCCCCCCACACAGAGTCACCCACACAGAGTCACCCACACAGAGTCACCCACACAGAGTCACCCACACAGAGTCACCCACACAGAGTCAGCCACACAGAGTCACCCACACAGAGTCACCGTTGATTTCGTGGCCTCCCCCCTCCCTCTACGCAGCACCTCGACAGCGTCCCGCCAGAGGACGGAGCTGGAGGTGACCAAGGAGCTGCAGGGCAAGGCCAGCGATGAGCGCTACGGAGTCATCCGGCTCCTGGACACGTTCCAATTCCGCGGACACAATTGCCTCGTCGTCGAGCTCTTGAAGTACGCGAACCTCCCCCCCTACCTCCCCTCCCCCACCCACGTGCGTGTCCATTGCTCCGCTTGATAGTTGATTTATTTCGGAATTCTAGATTTGAAGCTTTCGTGACTGCAAGGATTCATATTCTTAGGGTTTTTTCGGTAAAGTCACGTGGGAAAATGTTTTAAATTAATAAAAGTAAAATAAAAATAAAATAAAAATTACGACGTTTCAGAGGCAACACAAGCTTCCGTCTTCAGGTGGAACCGTCACAGCACGACAGCTGTATCAAGTGAAGACAAATTAAATGTCACTTGATACAGCTGTCGTTATGTGACGGTTCCACCTGAAGACGGAAGCTTGTGTTGCCTCCGAAACGTCGTGATTTTTATGTTATTTTTATTTTATTAAATTTTTTTTTTACCTACGTGACTTTACCGAAAAAACCTAAGAATATAAATCTTTGCAGTCACGAAAGCTTCAAATCTAGAAGGTGTCAGTTTTGTTGCCAGATAGAAGGGTAAAAACCCAATTATCGTCGTCCTTGTCGTCGTTGTCGTCGTCACAGGAAGAGCCTCTACGACGTGATGAGCAAAGGGAGCATCAAGCGAATCTGCGTGAGGCGCTTGAGGGAGTACACCAGGACCATCCTCGACTTCCTGCTGTACGCCAAGCGACGGGGCATCGTCCACGGGGACATCAAGCCGGTGAGCGGAGCGGGGGCGGTGATCGCACCCTCTCACCGGGGACTCGGTTAGCTGGCGCCGAGGCAGCCCGGCCGCTGTTGATCGCGGGGTCGATGCGCTGGCTCCGTCCATCTGGAGGAAGGTGGTGGTAGTGGTGGTAGTGGTGGTAGTGGTGGGAGTGGTGGTAGTGGTGGTGGTGGTAGTGGTGGTGGTGGTAGTGGTAGTAGTGGTGGTGGTGGTAGTGGTAGTAGTGGTGGGAGTGGTGGTAGTGGTGGTAGTGGTGGTGGTGGTGGTGTTGGTGGTAGTAGGGGTGGTGGTAGTGGTAGTAGTGGTGGGAGTGGTGGTAGTGGTGGTAGTGGTGGTAGTGGTGGTGGTAGTGGTGGTGGTGGTAGTAGGGGTGGTGGTGGTGGTGGTAGTAGTGGTGGTGGTGGTGTTGGTGGTAGTAGTGGTAGTGGTGGGGTCACGGGTGCAACCGCAACAAACAAAAAACAAAAACATGAACAAGAAAACATCTTAAAGTGAATATGTGACTGAGTGCAAACAGAAAATCCAAGAAAAGACAGCAAAATATTGCAGAAAAAAACACCGTACACCAACGCTGTGTGCAAAAATCCCAGTGGGATGCAAGTCAAACAACAACAACATCCACAAGACAACTTAGATTAAGGCCATCAGTCTAACTCTGTACTACAACAAACAAACATGGCTAAACCAATACAATCACCAAAATAAAGCCATGAAACCAATGTAACAGTGATCATATGAACTGTGACCGAATTTTCACAATAAACGACGTCAACAACATGTACCACCAAACCCTGCAGCCATAGCTGGCTGCATGAGTCACTCCACAACAGCAGGAGCATCAGTCGAAGTGTCAACATTTTTCAATGCCCCTTTAAGATCAGCACACCAAATCAAAACACGGATCACACTTTGCAGCGATCACAAACAAACATGGCTAAACCAATACACTTTTCGAAATCACCAAAATAAAGCCATGAAAGCAATGAAACAGTGGTCATAGGAACTGTGACGAAATTTTCACAATAAATGGCAGCAACAACATGCACCACCAAAACCCTGCAGCCCGTGTGGGTGTCAATGCGTCACTTTGATTGACATACCCGCTACTGGCTGGACACTCTATTGCTGTAACCTCACAGAGTGGAATTCCTTCTGATAGACAGCCAGTTTTGTTTTACCAGGTTTAGTTTTTCTTTTTTTCACACTTTTGTTATGTAGGCTAGGCGTTAGTCACAAACCGCACCTCTCCATAATACAGGCTCAGTCTTTTGTTATGCAGTCTATTCTTAGTCTTAAGCCTCACCTTACCATATTAATAAAAAGTGTGCCGTTCCTGGCCCTTCCCCCCTCAACCATTATATAAACGGAGTGGTATCTCTTGTAATCTCTCATTTACTTGATACAGCTGTCGTGGTTGTGACGGTTCCACCTGAAGACGGAAGCTTGTGTTGCCTCCGAAACGTCGTGATTTTTTATTTTTATTTTATTTTACTTTTATTAATTTAAATTTTTTACCTACGTGACTTTACCGAAAAAACCTAAGAATATGAATCCTTGCAGTAACGAAAGCTTCAAATCTAGAATTAATTCTTTCTCCGTCTCTCCCCCTTTGTCCAGGACAACATTCTACTCACGGCGGCCGGCAAAGTGAGGGTCACCGACTTCGGGTGCAGCTGCTACCTGAAGTCTCACTGTGAGTGGCTTTGCGTGCGTGGAGATTTTTGTTTATCAGGGTTAGTTCGCGTCAATGTCAACGTTGTGTCGTCCGACCCGCCGCCACCCGACGCAGCCACTCAGTGAGGTTCAGCGTCACGTGACCAGGACGCTCCAATTCGCTACTTGCACAGCGCCACCCGCTGTGCTGCAGAGCTCGCAAAGGGGTTTTGATTCCTTACCCCTCGTACCCGTACCTGTACCCGGCCGCACCAGGGTCGCAAATGGGTTTCCCGTACCCATACCCGGCTGTACCCATACCCGGCCGGGTAACGGGTAGGGTATGGGTATCGGGTACCCGATTGCGACCTCCTGGGATGAAGCCATGTTGCAGGCGCGGGTGGGTTGATTCTAGGAACTTGAATTGTGGGAAGAGACAAGACATTGGGAAATGAGTGACAAACGGTGACTCACCCAGTGACTCACGGTCTACCCGTACCCGTACCCGGCCGTACCCGTACCCGGCCGGGTAACGGGTAGGGTACGGGTATCGGGTACCCGATTGCGACCTCCTGGGATGAAGCCATGTTGCAGGCGCGGGTGGGTTAATTCTAGGAACTTGAATTGTGAGAAGAGACAAGACGTTGGGAAATGAGTGACAAACGGTGACTCACCGGTGACTCACGGCCTACCCATACCTGTACCCGGCCGCACCAGGGTCGCAAACGGCTACCCGTACCCGGCCGGGTTTCGGGTACAGGTACCCGTTTGCGACCCTGGTGCGGCCGGGTACGGGTACGGGTAAGGAATCAAAACCCGTTTGCGACCTCTGGGTGGTAGTGGTGGTGGTGGTAGTGGTGGTGGTGGTAGTGGTGGTGGTAGTGGTGGTGGTAGTGGTGGTGGTAGTGGTGGTGGTGGTAGTGGTGGTAGTAGTGGTGGTAGTGGTGGTGGTGGTAGTGGTGGTGGTGGTGGTAGTGGTGGTGGTGGTGGTGGTAGTGGTAGTGGTTGTGGTAGTGGTGGGGTCACGGTACCTCTGGTGAAGACAATCTGGGACGACCTATACTTCATATTCATTGTCGTTGTTGTTGTCATTGTTGTTGCTGCTGTTGTTGTTGTTGTGCAGCCCAAAACGTGGGTGGGACGTTGCCCTACATGTCCCCGGAGCTGCCGCTGGGCTACCAGGTCACGTGTGCCGTGGACATGTGGGCGCTGGGCTGCACCGTGGCCGAGATGGCCACCGGCAAGGTTCTCTTTGACTCGCGCACCTACGAAGAGCACCTGCACTGCTGCATCGAGGTACGGGCTGTGGGTGGGTATGGTGGGTGGGTTTGGTGGGTGGGTATAGTGGGTGGGTATAGTGGGTGGGTATGGTGGGTGGTGGGTGGGTAAGGTGGATGGGTGGGTATGGTGGGTGGGTACGGTGGGTATGGTGGGTGGGTATGGTGGGTGGGTACGGTGGGTATGGTGGGTGGGCAGGCAGGTCTCTATGGGTATGGGTCTCTGTTGGTCTGCACAGAGACCCACACTCATAGAGACCCATACAGACCCACAGAGACCCACACTCATAGAGACCCATACAGACCCACAGAGACTCATACTCATAGAGACCCATACAGACCCACGGAGACCCATACTCATAGAGACCCATGCAGACCCACAGAGACCCACACTCATAGACCCATACAGACCCACAGAGACCCATACTCATAGAGACCCATGCAGACCCACAGAGACCCACACTCATAGAGACCCATACAGACCCATACTCATAGAGACCCATACAGACACAGAGACCCATACTCATAGAGACCCATACAGACCCACAGAGACCCATACAGACCCATACAGACCCACAGAGATCCATACTCATAGAGACCCATACAGACCCACAGAGACCCATACTCATAGAGACCATACAGACCCACAGAGACCCATACCCATAGAGACCCATACAGACCCACAGAGACCCATACCCATAGAGACCCATACAGACCCACAGAGACCCATACTCATAGAGACCCATACAGACCCACAGAGACCCATACTCATAGAGACCCATACAGACCCACAGAGACCCATACTCATAGAGACCCATACAGACCCACAGAGACCCATACTCATAGAGACCCATACAGACCCACAGAGACCCATACTCATAGAGACCCATACTCATAGAGACCCATACAGACCCACAGAGACCCATACAGACCCACAGAGACCCATACAGACCCACAGAGACCCATACAGACCCACAGAGACCCACACTCATAGAGACCCATACAGACCCACAGAGACCCATACTCATAGAGACCCATACAGACCCACAGAGACCCATACTCATAGAGACCCATACAGACCCACAGAGACCCATACATACCCATACAGACCCACAGAGACCCATACAGACCCACAGAGACCCATACAGACCCATACAGACCCACAGACCCACAGAGACCCATACAGACAGAACCCATACAGACCCATACAGACCCACAGAGACCCATACAGACCCAGACCCATACAGACCCACAGAGACCCATACAGACCCACAGAGACCCATACAGACCCACAGAGACCCATACAGACCCACAGAGACCCACAGAGACCCACACAGACCCACAGAGACCCATACTCATAGAATTTGATTCCCTTTCACGGCCACAATGGGCCCGCTGAGGCTACACCGGCTGTAACCCCCCCTCCTCCTCCCCTCCTCCCCCTCCTCCTCCTTCTCCCCCTCCTCCTCCTCCTCCCCCTCCTCCTCCTTTTGTCTTCGTCTGAAACCACGTGCAGATCCTGGGCATGCCCCCGACAAAGATGGTGGACGAAGCCCCTAACAGGACACTTTACTTTGGTGAGTCGAAGGCTCGGGCAGGCTGGCGTGTGAGTGAGCGGGTGGATGGGTAGGTGAGTGGGTGGGTGGGTGAGTGGGTGAATGGGTGGGTGGGTGAGTTGGTGGGTGAGTGGCTGGGTGAGTGAGTTGTTGGGTAGGTGAGTGGGTGGGTGAGTGGGTGGGTGGGTGGGTGGGTGGGTGGGTGAGTGGGTGGTGGTGGTGGGTGAGTGGGTGGGGTGAGTGGGTGGGTGAGTGAGTTGGTTGGGTAGGTGAGTGGGTAGGTGAGTGGGTGGGTGGGTGGGTGGTGAGTGGGTGGGTGAGTTAGTTGGTGGGTAGGTGAGTGGGTGGGTGGGTGAGTGAGTGGGTGGGTGAGTGAGTGGGTGGGTGGGTTAGTTGGTATGTAGGTGGATAGGAAGGTGGGTAGTTAAGGGGATGAGTGGTCAAATTACTTTGGTGAGTCGAAGGCTCGGGCAGGCTGGCGCCAGCGACGTAACCCATTCCGTCTTGTTAGCTGGGGTGGCAGGGAGGCTCTTATAGGGTTCTTTTGTGGGGGGGGTTGGGGGGGGGGGGGGGGGGTCTCTGAATATGCCGGAGGTGGGGGGTGGGGTGGGGTTTGGGGCTTTCTGTAGCGGTCGCTAGGAAGCATAGGTGGGTGTGTGTGAGCAGGTGGGTGTGTAGGTGAGTAGGTGGGTGAGTGGGTGGGTGAGTGGGTGAGTGGGTGGGTGAGTGGGTGAGTGGTGGGTGAGTGAGTGGGTGGGTGGGTAGGTGAGTGGTGGGTGGGTGAGTGGGTGGGGTGGTGGGTGAGTGGGTGGGTGAGTGGGTAGTGGGTGGGTAGGTGAGTAGGTAGGTGAGTGGGTGGGTGAGTGGGTGGGTAGGTAGGTGGGGAGGTGAGTGGGTGGGTGAGTGGGCGAGTGGTTGGGTAGGTGAGTAGGTAGGTGAGTGGGTGGGTGAGTTGGTATGTAGGTGTATATGAAGGTGGGTAGTCAAGTGTCTGACTGGGTATGTGGGCGACGTGCTGGCGGGTGACTCTGCGTGCGTCTCTCTGTCTCTCTGCAGACCCTGAGGGTCTCCCCTACAACGTGTCCCAGCAGCGTCCACCTGGCAGCCTGTCCCTGCACCGCGCACTGCAGGGACACCACCCTCAGCTGGTGGACTTTGTCAGCCGCTGCCTCCAGTACGAACCACACTCACCCCTCGCTCACCCCCACTCACTCATCCCCACTCACTCGCTCACTCACTCATCCCCACTCGCTCACTCACTCACCCCCACTCACTCACTCGCTCACTCATCCATCCCCACTCACTCACTCATCCCCGCTCGCTCACCCCCGCTCGTTCACCCCCGCCCGCTCACCCCCGCCCGCTCACCCCCGCCTGCTCACCCCCGCTCGCTCATCCCCACTCACTCACTCATCCCCACTCACTCACTCATCCCCACTCACTCACTCATCCCCACTCACTCACTCACCCCCGCCCGCTCACCCCCGCTCGCTCACCCCTGCCCGCTCACCCCTGCACGCTAACCCCCGCTCACTCACTCACCCTTACTCACTCATCCCCACTAACTCATCCCCACTCACTCACTCACCCCCGCCCGCTCACCCCCGCCCGCTCACCCCTGCCCGCTAACCCCCGCTCACTCATCCCCACTCACTCACTCACCCTTACTCACTCATCCCCACTCACTCACTCACTCACCCACTCACTCACTCAACCCCACTCACTCATTCATCCCCACTCACTCACTCATCCCCACTCACTCACTCACTCATCCCCACTCACTCACTCGTCCCCACTCACTCATCCCCACTCACTCACTCACTCATCCCCACTCACTCACTCACTCACTCACCCCCCACTCACTCATCCCCACTCACTCATCCCCACTCACCATCCCAGACCTGTCAACACCTTAACAGTGCCCTACCTTACTACAGACGCAACTCAGACCTTTATTGATCACTCCGTGATCCTTACACATCTCAACGTACATCCTGCAAAGTCCCATCACAAGGAACAAACACTAACAAATAGACACAAACATTCTTGTCGTTACCCAGCATTGAAACGGCTACACTCTGTATAACCTGACAACTCAATCTCTCTGCACAAGAACACGGAATAAACCGTGCGGATTGACAGCTCTGCCACCCACTCACCACCCACCACCACTCCCCCCACCCTCTCCATCTCCCCACTCTCCCCCCACCTCCCACCCTGTCACATCTTCTCACCTTGCCCCTGTCCACCGCGTGTGCGTCTCCTGCCACCACCAGATGGGATCCCAATCTCCGGATGACGCCTGAACAGGCGCTGGCTCACAGCTGGCTACAAACCACCCGAGCCACCACCACCAGGGCCACCACAACCACCATCCGGGGCACCCCCACCACCAGCAGGGCCACCACAGACACCACCATCAGGGCCACCACCACCATCAGGGCCACCCCCACCACAACCACCATCAGGGCCACCCCCCACTGCCACCACCCACCCAGGCCACCACCACCACCATCAGGGCTACCCGCACCCCCATCAGGGCTACCCCCACCCCCATCAGGGCTACCCCCACCACCGCCACCACCCGGGCCACCACCACCACCTGGCCCGACACCACCAACTGGGCCACCACCACCACCACCATCAGCAGCAGCACCACTCCAGTGCAGGGCTCTGCAGCTGCTGAGCCACGGTGAGCCTCTCTCTGTGTACCTCGCCTGGTACGCAGGAGGTCGTGGGTTCGATCCCGACCCTGATGAGATGTTAACTACCTCGCCTGGTACGCAGGAGGTCGTGGGTTCGATCCCGACCCTGATAAGATGTTAACTACCTCGCCTGGTACGCAGGAGGTCGTGGGTTCGATCCCGACCCTGATGAGATGTTAACTACCTCGCCTGGTACGCAGGAGGTCGTGGGTTCGATCCCGACCCTGATGAGACTTTAACTACCTCGCCTGGTACGCAGGAGGTCGTGGGTTCGATCCCGACCCTGATAAGATGTTAACTACCTCGCCTGGTACGCAGGAGGTCGTGGGTTCGATCCCGACCCTGATGAGATGTTAACTACCTCGCCTGGTACGCAGGAGGTCGTGGGTTCGATCCCGACCCTGATGAGATGTTAACTACCTCGCCTGGTACGCAGGAGGTCGTGGGTTCGATCCGACCCTGATGAGATGTTAACTACCTCGCCTGGTACGCAGGAGGTCGTGGGTTCGATCGCGACCCTGATGAGATGTTAACTACCTCACCTGGTACGCAGGAGGTCATGGGTTCGATCCGACCCTGATGAGATGTTAACTACCTCGCCTGGTACGCAGGAGGTCCTGGGTTCGATCCTGACCCTGATGAGATGTTAACTACCTCACCTGGTACGCAGGAGGTCATGGGTTCGATCCCGACTCTGATGAGACGTTAACTACCTCGGCTGGTACGCAGGAGGTCATGGGTTCGATCCCGACCCTGATGAGATGTTAACTACCTCACCTGGTACGCAGGAGGTCATGGGTTCGATCCCGACCCTGATGAGACTTTAACTACCTCGCCTGGTACGCAGGAGGTCGTGGGTTCGATCCTGACCCCGATGAGATATTAACTACCTCACCTGGTACGCAGGAGGTCATGGGTTCGATCCCAACCCTGATGAGATGTTGACTACCTCGCCTGGTATGCAGGAGGTCGTGGGCTCGATCCAGACCCTGATGAGATGTTAACTACCTCGCCTGGTATGCAGGAGGTCGTGGGCTCGATCCCGTCCCTGACGATGCCTGCTGCTGCTGCTGTATATTTGCAGTCTGCGTTTCTGTCCCCGTGGTGGTCACTGCGTGGATTCTTCTCAGGGTCCTCCAGATTTCCTCCTCCACGTTTAGAATCGGCGTCACGTACTTCGAGTATTTGACTGCCGCTATGAATGTCCACGCGATGCAGATGATGATGATGATGTCATCAGCCAACTTGATTCGGCTATCAGCTGAGATGGCCAAGTCGCTTCTGATCTCTGTGGGTCTCTGTGAGTCTATGTTGGTCTCTGTGAGTCTATGGGTCTCTGTGGGTCTCTGTGGGTCTCTGTGGGTCTATGGGTCTCTGTGATTATGGGTCTCGGTGGGTCTGAATGAGTCTGTATGAGTATGGGACTCTGTGGGTCTCTGTGGGTCTGTGTGGGTCTCTGTGGGTCTCTGTGATTATGGGTCTCGGTGGGTCTGTATGGGTTTGTATAAGTATTGGTCTGTATGGGTCTGTATGGGTCTCCATGAGTATGGGACTCTGTGGGTCTCTGTGGGTCTGTGTGGGTCTCTGAGTCTATGGGTCTCTGTGGGTCTATGGATCTATGGGTCTCTGTGATTATGGGTCTCGGTGCGTCTGTATGGGTCTGTATGGGTCTCTGAGTATGGGACTCTGTGGGTCTCTGTGGGTCTCTGTGAGTCTATGGGTCTCTGTGGATCTATGGGTCTCTATGAGTATGGGTCTCTGTGGGTCTCTATGAGTATCGGTCTCTGTAGATCTCTATGGGTCTCTGAGTATGGGTCTCTGTCGGTCTGATGACGACGATGCTGACGATGATGACGATGACGACGATGATGATGACGATGATGGCGACGACGACGATGATGATGACGATGTTGATGACGATGTTGATGTTGATGATGGCGATGACGCGCTGCTGTGGTGCTGCTGCATCTCTCTCCACAGAGCGGAGCCGGAGAAGAAGCTCCCATCATCGTCATCATCGTCATCATCATCGTCATCGTCGTCACCGCTCACCCAGACCTTTGGAGAGAGGACGGAGGTGGTGGAGGTGGTGGAGACGCAGGAGGAGGATGACGACAACGACGAGGAGGAGAAGGAGGAAAGGGAGCGAGGGGTCATGGCGCGTGTGGGCAGGGCGCTACGCTCAGTCCGCTCGCTCCTCAGACGCCTGATGCTCTGTGGTGGGCGGCCCACGGCAGAGTAGCGGAGTGGACCCACACTCACCACCCACACTCACCACCCACACTCACCACCCCACACTCACCACCCACACTCAACACTCACCACTCACCACCCACACTCACTCACCACCCACACTCACCACCCACACTCACCACACCACACACTCACCACCACCACCCACAACCCACTCCACCACACCACACTCACCACTCACACCTCCACCACCCACACTCACCACTCACACTCACCAGACTCACCACCCACACTCACCACCCACACTCACCACCCACCACTCACCACCCCACACTCACCACACACCACTCCACAATCACCACACCACCACTCACCACCCACACTCACCACCCACACTCACTCACCACACTCACTCACCACCACACTCACCCCACCCACACTCACCACACCACACACTCATCACCACCACACTCACCACCCACACTCACCACCCACACTCACCACCCACCACACTCACCACCCACACCACTCACCACCCACACTCCACCCACACCACACTCACCACACCACACTCACCACCCACACTCACCACCCACACTCACCACCCACACTCACCACCCGCACTCACCACCACACTCACCACACAATGGACTAGAGCCTGCCTAGCCACGTGTGCGTGTGAAGAGTTAGGAGAGAGATAAGATAAAGTTATAATGTAATAATGTGTACATATACATCTAGACCATTGTTTGTTTATCGATTGTTGTTGCTAATAAATAAGCGGACTCAACAGAACGTTGCAATTGTGTTTGTTGTGGCGAGATGCTGCTGCCTGGGGTCTCAGGTGACTTGGGTCCAGATGTTGACTACCTCGCCTGGTACACAGGAGGTCGTGGGTTAAATTCCGACCCTGGTGAGATGTTGACTACCTCGCCTGGTACACAGGAGGTCGTGGGTTAAATTCCGACCCTGATGAGATGTTGACTACCTCGCCTGGTACACAGGAGGTCGTGGGTTAAATTCCGACCCTGGTGAGATGTTGACTACCTCGCCTGGTACACAGGAGGTCGTGGGTTAAATTCCGACCCTGATGAGATGTTGACTACCTCGCCTGGTACACAGGAGGTCGTGGGTTAATTCCGACCCTGGTGAGATGTTGACTACCTCGCCTGGTACACAGGAGGTCGTGGGTTAAATTCCGACTCTGGTGAGATGTTGACTACCTCGCCTGGTACACAGGAGGTCGTGGGTTAAATTCCGACCCTGGTGAGATGTTGACTACCTCGCCTGGTACACAGGAGGTCGTGGGTTAAATTTCGACCCTGGTGAGATGTTGACTACCTCGCCTGGTACACAGGAGGTCGTGGGTTAAATTCCGACCCTGATGAGATGTTAACTACCTCGCCTGGTTCACAGGAGGTCGTGGGTTCAATTCCGACCCTGATGAGATGTTGACTACCTCGCCTGGTTCACAGGAGGTCGTGGGTTCAATTCCGACCCTGATGAGATGTTGACTACCTCGCCTGGTACACAGGAGGTCGTGGGTTCAATTCCGACCCTGATGAGATGTTGACTACCTCGCCTGGTACACAGGAGGTCGTGAGTTCAATTTCGACCCTGATGAGATGTTACTTATCCACACTACAAATTGCAATCACCTTCGCTAGCTACTGCCATAGGCTCCCATGTTACCCGCCCTCCACATTCCCTACACGACATAAGCATCCCTACCTATCCACACTACGCATTACAATCACCCTCACCGGCCACTCCCATAGAGCTCCCATAGGCTCCCACGTTACCAGCCCTCCACATTTCCTACATGACATAAGCATCCATACCTATCCCACTACGCATTACAATCACCCTCGCCGGCCACTCCCATAGAGCTCCCATAGGCTCCCACGTTACCAGCCCTCCACATTCCCTACATGACATAAGCCTCTTCCTGGTTCTTTCGGTAAAGTCACGTAGAAGGGAAGTAATAAAATAATAAAAATAAAACATAATAAAATTATTCTCACGACGTTTCGGCCACAACGCAAGCAGCCGTCCTCAGGTGAAAACCAGGTCCGTCGAGGCGACAGAGTCTGAATGAAACAGCACACGAGCTTGGAGCATATATATAAGCTGGGCGCATTGACAAAGGAATTTGCATATCAAGATGAATTTAGCATATTTATGGGAAATGCAGGAATGTGATTAGTACTGCATATGCAAAATCCTGATTAAACACAAGATCCAGGTCCGATTCAACACAGTACATAAAATCCGTGATCTGGTCCCGTCTGTAAAAGATGTGGTTCCAGACATACAGTACCCTGGCGTCTACAAACTAAGTTTCCTCTGTGGTAGCAGTTACATTGGAGAAACCAAACGACATGTCTCGGACCGCATCCGTGAACATAAAGCAGACCTGGAACACGGTAGGACAAACACCTCAGCCGTGGCAGATCATTGTTACAATTCAGTGGGCTCACATGACATTGACTTCTCCAAGACAGAGGTTCTTTGCAAGCCATCTGGCTATCATGAGAGATTCGTTCATGAGGCGATCCACATATACAAACACAGAGACAATTTCAACCGAGAAGATGGATTCTGGCTTAGCAATCATTGGAAGGACGTAATAAACCATTTCGGATCATAACTGATTGTGTTCACGTTTACGGTGACTTTCAGACCGCGTTCCACTCACTGGCATGGTGCAGTGTGCAGAGTAATGTATGGTGTCGTAATTGTATAGTAAATATATAGCAGTGTGATACACATTAGGGTGGGTAGAATAATACATAGTGTTATATTAAAATGGATAAGGCAGCAACTGCAGCAGCAGCAACTGCAGCAGCAGCAGCAACTGCAGCAGCAGCAGCAACTGCAGCAGCAGCAGCAACTGCAGCAGCAGCAGAAACTGCAGCAGTAGCAGCAACTGCAGCTCCCTTTGATGCTGTTAATCCTGCATAATGCACATGCATATGCAGTACTAATCACATTCCTGCATTTCCCATAAATATGCTAAATTCTCTTGATATGCAAATTCCTTTGTCAATGCGCCCAGCTTATATATATGCTCCAAGCTCGTGTGCTGTTTCATTCAGACTCTGTCGCCTCGACGGACCTGGTTTTCACCTGAGGACGGCTGCTTGCGTTGTGGCCGAAACGTCGTGAGAATAATTTTATTGTTTTATTTTTATTATTTTATTATTTCCCTTCTACGTGACTTTACCGAAAGAACCAGGAAGATGAATCCCTGCAGTCACGAAAGCTTTAAATAAAAAAATATGACATAAGCCTTTCTATCTATCCACACTACGTATTACAATCACCCTCGCCGGTCACTCCCATAGAGCTCCCATAGGCTCCCACGTTACCCGACCTCCACATTCCCTACATGACATAAGCCTCCCTATCTATCCACACTACGCATTACAATCACCCTCGCCGGCCACTCCCATAGAGGCTAAATCTTGACTTAAAGCTTTCATGACTCCAGGAATTAATATTATTTGGTTCTTTCGGTAAGTCACATAGATAGGTTGAAATAAAATAACAAAAATTATGACCTTCTTGGTTCTTTCGGTAAAGTCATCACGTAGAAGGGAAATAATAAAATAATAAAAATAAAACTTAATGAAATAATTCTCACGACGTTTCGTCCACAACGCAAGCAGCCGTCATCCTCAGGTGGAGAACAGGTCTGTCGGGGAGACAGCGTCTGAATGAAACACCACCAGTCTTGGAGCGTCTATTTAAGCTGGGTTGGAGGGGGAAGAGCGCCTTGACAAAAGAATTTGCATATCAAGAGGAATTTAGCATATTTATGGGAAATGCAGATATGGGATTAGTACTACTTGTGGAATGCGTTGTGGCCGAAACGTCGTGAGAATGATTTAATTGTTTTATTTTTATTATTTTATTATTTCCTTTCTACGTGATGACTTTACCGAAAGAACCAAGAAGATGAATCCCTGCAGTCACGAAAGCTTGAAATCGAAAAATTATGACCTTTCAATCGCAACACAAGCGGACGTCGTCATGAAAAGGGGAGGAGCTTCTAATGGCAAACTGTCTATCTTCTTCTTCCTAGCGTTGTTCCCGCTGTGGCGCAGGGTCCGCTTTTCGGCATTGTCTTCTCCATTTGGCTCGGTCCAGGGCATCTTCAGGGGATGCGTTGACCGTCTTCACGTCTTCCTTTATTCGGTCCATCCATCGCTTCTTCGGACGTCCGCGTGGACGGCGGCCCTCTGGCTCAATACGCACGGCAGTCTTGGCCACTGATGACTCTTCACTTCGCATCACATGGCCGTACCACCGAAGCCTTGCCTCAAGCATCTTGTCCGCAATGGGGGCCACACCAAGTCGCTTCCGAACGTCTTCGTTCCTGACACGATCCCATCGAGTGAGCCCGAGGCTCCATCTGAGCATCCTCCATGGTGTGGAGAGCTTGTTCGTGTACAGTTGTGGCTGGCCAGCACTCGGATCCATAGAGTGCCACCGGTCGGACGATGGTCTTGTATAGTTTTCCCTTCAGCCTATCCGGCATTTTCCGATCACAGAGGACTCCGGTGACTTGCCTCCATTTCATCCACGCCGCATTGACTCGTGACCTCACATCAGTCGTGATGCTACCATCTGAGCTGATGGTGGAGCCCAGGTACTTAAAGTCCGTCACTTTCTTCAGATCTTCTCCGTCAATACTGATGGTGCCGTCGGTTTGGGGGCCACACTCCATATACTCCGTCTTTTTGATGTTGAACCTCATCCCGTTTCGTCCAAACGTTCCTTCCACAGGCGCGTTTGTCTTTCCACTTCTCCTCTCTCTTCATCTGAGAGGAGGACGTCATCCGCGTAGAGAATTGACCATGGAAGGGGCGTGTGCAGGTCGGCAGTGATCGTGTCCATGCACAGGATAAACAGGAGTGGTGACAGGGCCGATCCTTGGTGCACTCCAACGCTGATGGGAAATGGCGGTGATATGCCCACTGCACACCTGACTGCACTGGTGACGTTCTTGTATAGGAGTTGCACCCAATGCACGTAGGTTTCAGG